CAGTGTATTTAAGGTAGCAAAATACATTTTGTATGCTGTAAAAATGTAGTGAATAAATGTAAAAATAAATAAATAGGAAAAAGTAAATAAATAGAAGATGGAAGTCTCACATGCACAAAAATTCTAAATAAATTATGTAGATACTTACGATGGTTAATTTAATGTCACCTTATCTGAGCCATCCATGGTGCCTAGAAATTTGGTCACACATTTTGCACCAAATAGTCTTGGCCTAATTCAATTCATTGACGATCTTAATGTAAGAAAAGGATAATCTCTTCTGAGCAGGAGGGAATTCTTCAAGGAACCAGCTGTTAGATAATGGCTATGTCACTGAACTCCCACGTATCTGACTGCAGTTCGAGTCCTGGACCTGGTGGCTTAAACTCACGCTGGGCACATGTGTATGCATGCCCAAGATCCAGAGAAGAAAATGGAGGAGAAGGGATTGCAGCATGGCCATGCCCCCATGGGGTGATTTCTCGCTTTCTATCTCTCTGTCTCTCTCTGTCTTTCTGGTGAGTGCACACTCCCTATAGCAAAAACCTCTCAAAAAAAGAGGGAATTCTTCAAAAGACTGCCTTAGGAGTTCACCTGCAGACACAATATTCCTGGTTCTGGAGCCCACTGCCTTTGGTCTCAAACTACAAGTATTCCCTGGGTCTCCAGTTCCCCAACTGCCCACAACAAATTTTGTAATTCTCAGACCTTCACAATTGTACAAGCCAATTCCTTAAAACAAAGTATCTTTTGATATTTACATCCTATCAGTTCTGTTACTCTGGAAAACACTGACTAATAAGCTCCACCCTGATAGACCAGCAGCAAAACTTCTCAATCCTAGTGTGGGCTGTGCATAGCAGCTTTCTTCCAAAGAATATAGTATGGAAAAAAAAGGGGGGAGTGAATAAATTCACAGTAGAAAACCTAACACAAACTATCTGAACCACATGATCAAGGTCAACATCAACTATCGGAATCATTTTGATGTTATGAAAATAGCTTGATTTGATGTTATGAGAATAGCATCCTACAATACATTTGTAACCTTCCTCCTCAAAATCAATAACCTCATTAGAAAGTCATTAGAAAGACACCAGACAAATTCTAATAGAAGAACATCTTATAATATAACTGACCCATATTCCTCAAAATAGTCAAGGTCATCAAAAACAAAGAAGAATATGAGAAACTATCATAGCCAAGAGAAGCATTAAGTGGGATGAAAATTAAATGTTATGTAGTATCCTAGATGGGATCCTGGTAGAGAAAAATAACATTAAGTGAAATTTTAAAAATTGGAATAACTTATCAACTTTAGTTAATGACTATATATTAGACTGGCCCTATTGCCTAGTGGTTAAGGGAGCCAGATCCCACATGGCAGGATTTGGCTCATGTTCCAGCCCTGCTGGCTTGAAATGCATGCTGGGCAGGTGTGTCCATGTGTGTGCATGCCAAAATCTTGACAGGATGAAGAAATGAAGAAGGAACTGTGGTATGACCACACCCTATTGACAGGGTACTTTCTTTCTTCCTTTCTGTTTCTCTCTCTCTCTCTCTCTCTCTCTCTACCTCTGACAATTAAAAAATACTCTTGATGATAACTTATCAATATATTGGTTCATTAATTGTAACAAATGTATTCTACTTGCGTATGATGCTAATAACGGGATACTATGTCCAAGGTGAAATGAAATGAGATATCTTTGTATTATCTACTTAATTATTCTGTAAAGATAAAATTGTTCTTAAAATAATCTAATAATTTCTAAAATTTATAATAATTTTCATCCACAATTAAACTATCATCACCATGAGCATTACCATCAAGTAATTTTAACTGAAATGTGAGAAAAAGAATAAATGTCCACTTAAAATTTGGAAGAAAATGAAGGTTGAAGAAAACCAAAAGCAATAAAACTTTTTTCACAAATAAGCTCTATTTCCTTGCATAAATAAATTGAAGATAGAAGTCATATGGAACAGTGATTAAGATGCTGGACTTCCACACAGCTGTGAATCAAGTCCCCTACCTGATGGTTCGAAAAATCACACCACCATGTCTGCACATGTGCCAAAAATTCCAGGAGGAGAAAGGAGAAGGGATTGCGGCATGGTCATCCCCCCTGGGGTCTGATTTCTCTCTTTCTGTCTCTCTTTCTGGAGAGTGCACGCACGCACCCTAAAGCAAAAACCTCTCAAAAAATTAATTAATTAATTCAATAAATGCTTAGCGAGAGTCCACTGCTTTAAATAAAATTAATAAAGATATGCCTAAAAGAATTTTAGGTCATGTATATTTGTACATTGGTAACTTTTAAAGATAATGAGACCCAAAATTGAGCCAACTAGGAAGTCTTCTCAGAAACATTGGTTTGGGATCCTAGAAGAGTAGAGTCAGCAACTGAATTCCAGGCTCCTTATTTATTACCTTGCATGGTCTTGTTCTTTTTCATACACTCCAGTGTTGTGTGAATTAGTTCTTTTGTCATTTTTTTCTTTTCATGAAGCTGAGAATATTTTTGAAAGAAAACTGGAAAAGAGAATAAAGATCAATCATTTTCCTGGTAGCATTATGATTTTATTTTCATTGTTACTTTATTGCATTTTTATAGAAAAATCTACAAATGTTCAGTTATTTGGGTTGAATGATCTTGACTATAAAATATTTTCCATTACCCCATAGTTAATATAATCCTAATTGTACTGATTTTGAAAGCATAGAAATTTCCAGGCATACCTGAAAGATCAGTAATTTAAAGAAAACATGCCATCAACAGGTGAATCATAAGTTTGTGTATATATAAAAATATATATAATACATATACACACATATCTTTATATTTATTTATATAAATGTGTGGAAATATAGATAGATATAGATACACACACACACATATGATAGAATGCTTTGCAGTTATTTCAAAGGGTGGGATTCTGTCACTTGAAGTAATGCGAGTAAGTCTTGAGGACATTATGTTAAGTGAAATAAACCAGGCACAGAAAGAAACACCACATGTTCTCTCTCACATAGGGAAATTGGAAACTGACCTCATAGAAATAGAGGGCTGCACAATGACTGCTAGAGGCTATGAAGGAAGGAGGGGGAGAGGATAGAGATTTAAATGGATGAAAATAAAATTGCAGCTAGATAAGAGGAGTAGTTATAAAACATAGTGGAGAGAATGGGATTAACAATAACTGTACTGCCATGAGAGCTGAGATCTAGTACTTTCAGGGTTAAGAGCAATGAAGTTGTTTTCCAGGAAGTCACCCTGAAAAAGCATAAAGGGCAGGCCAGAAGAAGACTGAGTCTGCCATGAGAGCTGAAATCTAGTGCTTTCAGGGATAAGAGCAATTGTTGGGACCATGCAGCCAACATAGGCTGAATTTAAAGGAGCTGCCCCTCATTCCTAAAGCAAGGACTGGACTGAGGAAAACTGTAAGCAAGGTCAACAGTTTACAAGTCCCAATTCTCCACTGTGTTGATATTCTGGCCTACACTCAATTTCTCTGCCATGAGCTTTACTGACGGTACCCCATAAGGACAAAATAACACCCCTAGCTTTACTGTAACTTTTACAATAATCCTGAAGGAATGTGGATCCCTAACGTGGCAGTGAATGGGAATTGTTTCCTGAAGTTCACCCCATCTACCTGGAAAATGTTAATAAAGAATGCTGCATTCACCTCTCCTACTGGGGATTACATAGATAACATTAGAGAAGTTTGAGTTAGTGGAAAGCTACTAAATTGGTGAAATGACCTCAGTAGCTGGGGGAGGCTTAGGGACTCATCCGTGAGGCACTGATACCCCAAAGACCATGAGCCACCTTTGATCTCAGGACAAGGGAAGATTGTCATTCCCTAAGCCACAGCCATTGTATAGAACAGCGCGTAGAGGGTACCAAGTATACAGTAACCTTTAGGTCAGTCATTAAGCTGCTCGCAAGACCACATTCCTTTCCCATGTAGGCAATAGGCTCACCTCCTTAGCTGTAAATTACCCCAAAAGCAATATAGATATTTCACTTTAGTATATATTAACCGTGTCTTTACTTGACAAGACAAGATTTCTATCTAGGCCCAGGACTGAAGTTATCAAGCTGACCTGGGACTGAAGTTATCAAGCTTCTTGCAAGCCCCCTCTTCAAAAGACCCTTCTGAATGGTAATCAAGATCTAAGAAGAAAATGCACCAGATAGATGGACTCCCTCATCCTGAGAACTGTAATTGATTATACCTAATCAAACAAGACAGACATCATGTTTTATGATCATTGTTCCTGTACTTTGTATACCCTATTTCTTAGAGTAAATCTTTTATTTCCCCCTCACTCCTCCTACTCCTGTAAGACATCCCTCAGTAAATATGTTTGTTTGATAGCCACTGGAGCTGCAGTCTTGAGCTGGCTCTGACTGTAGTCAGCTTAGAACATGCTAAAGAGCATTGAGGTCTCAGTCTGATTGTTCCTGATCACCCGTGTCGCCTTCCTGTGTACGAGCTTCAACCCACCCCAGCTGGAGCAGGCCTCTGGCAAGTAATGAAGAAGTTCTGCTGAGAAGTCACCCTGGTAGAGCCCCCTCTGTTCTTTTCTCTCTGTCTCTTTCTGTCTCTGTCTTTTCATGAATTTTTCTTTTTAAAAATTTTAAAGGTATTTTCTTGGCTCTGAAATCCTCCTTTATGGTGGTAATAATCCCCTCCCATCTAGGAAACCATAAAAGGCCAGCCAGAGAAGAGTGAGTCTGTCATGTGAGCTGAGATCTAGTGCTTTCATGTGTCATGCCATGCAGTTTTCATTTTTTTGGTTTTGTTTGTTTGTTTGTTTTGGGTATTTTTTTGGAGAGGTTTTTGCTATAGGGTGTGAACACTCACCAGAAAGACAGAGAGAGACAGAGAGACAAAAAGCGAGAAATCACCCACCAGAGGGGATGGCCACATTGCAATTCCTTTTCCTCCATTCTCCTCTCAGGATCTTGGGCACGTAAGCACACGTGCCTGGTGTGAGTTTAAGCCACTGGGTCTGGGACTTGAACCATGGTCTACTACATGGGATTCCAGCAACATAACCATTACACTGACTTCTGGTCCCTTCATTTTTTGTTCTATAAGATTAACAAAGAAATCTTTTTGTTTGCTTGCTTTATCATTTTTCCTTTTTTTCCTCTTTTTCTCTGTTTTTTTTTTCTACCTCATTGCTTTGCTGCTCACCTACACACACTGAGTGTCCAGACAGATCTAAGTGAATAGTAGCCAAGCATCTGAATATTATTAGGGTCCTCGCATTCCTCAATTCCCACAGAATCTGCAACACAAAGGGGAAAAAAAAACGGAATGCCATGGAGTTTGCAGACTATCTCTTCCTGTGCTTCTCTAATCACTCAGATTGAACTTCTAGAAAATATGAAGAAATGAATAACCCGTATGATGACTAGAAGTCATTGCAGAGGCACAAGAGATATGAGAAACCAAGAAATATCTCTCCCTTAACGGAAAAGTACAACTCCTCTTCATCCATAGACAGTACAATGGAACTCATGGAAATATCTGGTAAACAATTTAGAATATTCATAGTAACAAAGCTAACAGAAATGGAAGAGAAGAGAGACAATGAAAACCAGAAGAAAAAAGCCAATGAGGGAACCAGCAGTTAGCGTAATGGCTATGTCGCTGGACTCCCATGTAGTCGACTGTGGTTCGTGTCCCGAACCCGGTGGCTTAAAAATCACGCCGGCGCGTGTGCGTGCGTGCCCAAGATCCCGAGAGGAGAATGGAGGGAAGGGATTGCGGCGTGACCATCCCCCCGGGGTGTGATTTCTCGCTTTCTGTCTCTATGTCTCTGTCTGTCTGGTGAGCACATACACCCTATAGCAATGAGTTACAGAGGGTGAGGAAGTTCTTGTGACAGCTGAAAGAGGAAATACACACCATAAAAAAAGAATCAAATGGAACTGTCGGAGATGAAGACTATAATACAGGAAGTCAAAAACCCCTTTGAAAGTATTAAAAGCAGACTAAGTTATACAGAAAATCAAATCTCAGATGTAGAAGACAGAATTGCTGGACTATCCACCATGAAGACTGAGAAAATAGCCCCTCGAAATGACAATAATATACAAGAAATATTAGATACCATCAAACATCCAAACAGCCAGATAATCAGTATCCCAGAAAGTGAAGAGACTAATAAGGGCATTGATAATGTATTCCATGAAATCCTGGAAGAAAACGTCCTAAACCTAGAGAGGCATTCAAAGATTCTGACACAAGAAATACAGAGGACCCCAAATAGTAACAATCCAAGAAGATCTTCTGCAAGTCACATTATAGCCAGAATGATCAAAACCACAGACAAAGACAAGATACCCATACTGGCAAGAGGGAAACATCAAGAAGACTCCCCCATGGCTTCCGAGAACTAGTGATTTCAGGGAAAAAAAGAGAAATGAAGATTTCCTACTGATAATTCTGCCTCCAATCCCCAAACTCGAGTGGTAGCCTTCTCTTTGTCTCTGTCTCTGTCACTGTCTGCCTCTCTCTGTGTCTTCTCAATTTTTTCTAATTTTTCCTTTATAAAATTTTTAAGGTAAAGTATTCTCTTGGCTTTTGGCCCCACCTTTATCTTGCTAATAATCCCCTTTCTCTCTCCCCTCCAGGAGTGGCAAGGGGCAGGCCTTCAGAAGAAGACTCCTCCATGACTACTGAGAAGTAGTGATTTTGTGTGGTGCACAAGCACGCTACAGTTTTTTATTTTTTTGCTTTTTGAAAAAAATAAATATTTTAATAGTTATTTTTTTCTTTCTTTTCTCCATTCTCTCTCTCTCTCTCTCTCTCTCTCTCTCTCACCCGGAAAATAAAAAAAAATAAATATAAATATAT